ACTGTCCCTTCCATGATGCCCCCTCACACCACAGCCCCCCCAGCCCCCCCGTAGGGCCAGGCAGCGCCCCCCCAGCCCAACCTGCCCCTCACGGAACGGGGCTCTCCCCATCCCAGCCCCATGCCCACAGGACAGGATCCCCCCGTCAGCCACCACCCGGCCACCTCCCAAGAGGGAAAAGGCCACCCAAAGCCTTCTTCATCCTCTCTCCTCCCTGTTTCTGTTCAAAACACTCCAATAAAAAGCAAAAGAGAAGCAATTTGCTGTCCAGAAGAGGATATGGGGACATCATCCACCTCCTAAGGTGCTGCCACCCCTCCTCAAAGCAGGGGGTACCAATAACACCCGAGCACAGATTCAGACCCAAGGGGACAGAGGAAATAGCATCAAAATCTCCCCGAAAGCCCCGCTCCTAAACGGACCGACAAGCGCTACCCAAACCAGCTGAGAATTCGAGATTTCTGGCAAGAGCAATTCCAAAGTTACAGCAGGAGTTGGGAGAGCGCAAGCCCTGCAAAGGGAGATGCAGCCGCGCGCTGCCCGAGGCAAAGGGAAGCAACGAGGACTGTGAGGAACGGGAAACGCCGCGGGAGCGTGGCGCGAGGAGGAGGCAACGTGGTGGAAAAGCGCGTAGGAAACCAAAATCCACCTGGATTGTGAAACAAAATCCACCTGGATCGCAAAGCAACTGTAACAAGCGCAGTGTGTTGACCTCAGCGGCCAGCAGAGAGGATCAACCCCTGCTGGAACCATCCCCATCCCCTCCCAGCACATCAGTGTGATAAACAAAGTGCCAGCCAAAGAAGCTTACAGGTAAAAGTTACTCCTGCAGCCCAAAAATAGAAATACAGAGAGACGGAGCATATAATTGTTACGTTGGACAGTTCCCTGCTCAGCTCCATCCTCCTCCTCACCTCCCTGGGGGAAGGACAGGCAGAGTCCAGCGTGGCCACAAGCATTTCTGTACAGTTTCTGGGCTTAGCAGTTGAAAATACACCTTCAAAGCCGGCCAGTTCAGTCTGTAATCACACCAGGAAAACCCACAAGCGATGGCAAACCCGCCTGCTGTTCCCAGAGTGCATAAACAAAACCGAACCAAGAAGAGGCAGCGTGGGAAGAGGAGACAACCCGCGAGAGCCACAGCTGAAACAAAACCAGACCTACACTGGGCACCTCATTTTTCAGCATGGGGAAGCTATGGAGGTTCAAATTCCTCCTTGCTTTTGCATTCTAAGCTTAAAAAGGGGTGGTAGGTGGTTAATCCTTCTACCACCAGCTTCTGTGAGGTTAAAGAAGCCATGATGGGTCAAATCCTGTCATTTTTAGGGAGTTTCAAAGCCCGCAGCAGTGACTGAAGGTCGCCAGGGGCTCGAGTCTCCATGCAGTGACAGCACAGAGGGTCTCATTCTGGCAGATTTTGGGTGCTGAGGTTAACACGTGCTCACATTTGCGGGGCAGTGCAGAGATTCACGAGTCCTCAAACACCTGTGAAACATCCTCACACTAATTCTCCACAAACCACGCTCAGAAGAGGGGAGAGAAAAGCCCCTCGTAGCGGTCGAGAACCTCACTGCACCTGGCAAAAGGCTCCGGGTGGATAACCTGCTGCTTTAACCCAGATTCGAGGGATGATCTGTGAGGCAGCTGGTGCCACTTCTATGCTGCAGAGCTCAGCGCTGCCCCGTGGTCTGAAAAAATAAATTCCCCAAATTTGAGCCAGATATTCCTGAAGATCCAGCGAAAGCAACACGGGGTAGGGGAAAGACCAGGCCAGGCAGGGCTGCCTGATCGCTGGCTTGCTCACGGGCTCTGTCTGGGGTGAGGATGAAAGCATCTGTCTTTGCTGGCCAGCCTACTGCGTCCAGCGCTCTGTGCGAGCCGATTCCTTGCCAAGGCGGGAGGGTTTGCCAGCTCTCTGTCGTGCATTTGAGTTATCAGATCATTTTAAACATGGTGATTCCCCTCGCTGGCTCTGCTGAGGAGGACAGGCTGCTAACAAACTGAGCCTAAAGTTCCTCTCTTCTTTCTCTACCAGGGTGGTAAGACATAAAACCTCTCCTAGGCTTAAAAGAGCTGGAGAAAAACCATCATCAGGACTAGGAGGTCATGAGGAATCGCTGTGGCAGGTGCAGGAGCTCAGCGAAATTTAATGGGGAGAGGAGAAATGAAAGAAATAGATGCTGTTCCTTTCTCCACTGACGTCCTGCTAGGATGTGGAGGTGGCCACGAGGCTGATTTTGAACCCGACATGGCTGCAGTATCCGTGGGTATCCCTGGCTCATCCCAATCAGGGCTCCCCCTCCTGCAACATCCCCTTCTCCAGCAGTTACCAACCCAGGTCTCACATAAACATCAGGAAAGAGAATTTCTATCCTTGCTTGCCAAGACTGAAATAGGTTATTGTGACCATCTGCCTTCGAGTGCTGCCCCCAGAGATTGTCACTCCACGATTCCTGCGCTGGAAGATCTGGCCGAGAGATTTCACGCCGTCCCTTGTGGCCACAGATCAGCAGCGGTGAAAACTGAGCTCAAATTCAGGCTAAAAACCAACGTCCGGCCTCCCTATGGCGCTGCCTACCCTCAGAAATCTTCAGAGACCAGGAGAAAAGACAATATCAAGGGCAACGGCCCACGTTATCCCTGTGCAGGGGAAGGAGGTGGCCAACGTGAGCTTTTCAATAACCTGGAACTCGAGAAGGGAATCAAAGAGGGTGGAAAGTAGGTCAGGCTGCGGGTGAGCACAGAATGAGCACGCGGGGAGGAAAATCAGAAAGGCCGACACAAAAAGAGAGTGTGACCCAAGAACTGTAACACGAGGAGGGTCCTCAGGGCACGTTAACCAGGGAGAGAGGTGGAGGCACCTCCAATCGTCTCCAAACTCAACAGGACACAGCCCTGAGCAACATGACCTGGGTTTGAAGTTGGCCTCGTTGGCAGGTGGGGGTCAGGTTTGGACCTGCAGAAAGTTTTTCTAACCTCCACTCGGGACGTGCAGGCGTGCTCCTCGACGGAAAGGAGGACAAAAGGCCACATCCACAAAGCATCTTGATTCCGCTGTGGAGGGCATCCACGATTAACCAGAGGAAGCAAAGGTCAGGGTGGAAATCGGAGCTGCTGCTGAGGTCTTTGCTCTCAAGTTAAAGTGTCAAGGAAGAAATGAGGTGAAAAAAAGAAAAAGCCATAAAATCTACAATAAACTTCCTCTTCCAGCCTGAGTTGTGCTGGTGGAAGAGCCTTCCCCTCCTGATCTCCTCCAGCCTCTCGCTGAGGCACAGGCTGTGCTTGTCCCCAGCCCAGGCAGCACAAAGTCACAGGCTCCTCCTGACTCGCGCATCCTGGATCAGAAGAGGCGGGGGGGAGGAACTGAAGGGGCTGTGGGGTCTCTGCCCACTTGTATCTCTGAGCAGACCACATGAGGGTTCCCCCTGGACACCCCTAAAACCACTTTTGAAGGCCTTGGCGCTCAGACGCTCTCCCTTTTTCACTCATTGTCCACTGGAAGGAGCTCTCTGTTCTCCACATGGCCTGGAATGCAGCCCTGCAGAGAGGGATGTGGGGCTTTTGATGATGGGAAGCTCAACGGGCATCAACCACGTGCCCTCGTGGCCAAAAGGGCCACCCAGAATCAAAGAATCATTCAGGTTGGAAAAAGAGCCTTGGGATCATCGTATCACCCGTATCCTGGCACGGTGTAGTGAACCGGTCAAAAGATGTGGTTGTCCCACATCTCGGTGTGACCTCACCTTGAGTCCAGGGGGCACTTCGGGGCTCCAAAAAAATCTGAGAAGGATATAAAAATATTAGAACGCACCCAAAGGAGGGTAATGGAGATGGTGAAAGGGCTTGTGAGGAGCGGCTGAGGATACCAGGGTTGGTCAGCCTGGAGAAGAGGGGACTGAGGGGTGACCTTGTCGCTGTCTCCAACGTCCCCGTGATGGGGAACGGAGAGGGAGGTGCCGATCTCTCCGGTGTCTGGCGATAGGACACGAGGGAACGGCTTAAAGTTGCGTCAGGGGAAGTTCGGATTGGCCGTTGGGAAAGAGTTCTTCATGGAGAGGGTGGTCAGGCACTGGAAGGAGCTCCCCAGGGCTGAGGTCGTGGCCCCAAGCCTGTTGGTGTTCAGGAAGAGTTTGGAGAACACTTAGATAATGGGTTTAACTTTTAGGTTGCCCTATGTGGAGTCAGGAGTTGGGCTCGATGATCCTTCGGGGTCTCTTCCAACCCAGGAGACCCTAAGAATGTTTCTGTCTGAAAATTATGTTCTAGAGAAGAAAAAGACACTTTTCAGCCAAGGCAGGACCTTGGCCATGGTCAGGGCAAGCCCCACGCCCGATTCCTCATCTGGGTGCTCAACAGGAGCAAAGCAGCAGCTGGAAGAGTTGCACAATCATTCCCTAAGCTTGTGCCATTCAGCGGACCCTCTCCTCCTCCTCCTCCAAACTGACGCTGCGTTGGATGCACTCCAGAAGGAAAAACTCACGTTCGCTCTTATTCCTAGACGTGGTGAAACATCATAGTCGTGGCCTGGGAGCATCGAGAGGAAGAATCCAGCTCTAGCAGACGACCTCAACAGTTTGGGACAAGAATGGAGATCACGAGGAGTTAAATCCGGAAAAAAAGGGGTGAAGAAGAGTGGAGGATGGTGGTGCCCAGCTTGTGAAACAGTCCAGGCGACAGAGCGAGGTGAGGCAGGCTACGAGGAAGGAGAGCTGCGAGCAGTTTTGGAGAGGATGCAGTTGCCTAACGCTTCCCAGCGCCTGCCAAGAGGCGCCACGTGTTCTCCGAGGCGGCTGCCAATAGTTTCTGGGCCAGGAGATACACAAACAGCCTCGCTAAGGAGCCGAGCCAGGCTTTAAGGAGGCGGCTGCAGCAGCAAGACACACCTTCACCCGTCACAACATCCAGGGAAAAGCCAGTGCTGAACGCAGGGACCGGCCTGGAGAAGCCACCGACTCCACGGGGATGGCTGGTGACAGCCTGGGAGCCAGCCTTCCCGCAGAAAAGGGTGAGGGGAAAAATAAATTTAAAAAAAAAAAAAAAAAAAGGTTTTCAGGCTTTTAAGCTGTTTGTAAACCGAACCAGAGCGAGTGTTGCAACCTCCCCTACGTCACAGCCCGTCCCGGGATGGGCAGGAGCCGAGATAACCCTCCTAACGTGGCGCTTCAGGGAGGGTTCAGCCTCATTGGGGAGGGAATCACAAACAATCGAGGGTCTAAACTCAGGACCAAAGAGGGGAGATTGAAAGATCTGGGTCTACAGGAAAGCACAAACTGCTGTCTCTGCTTATTATGGGTAAAATGAACGGTCATGCGTTTAGATATTAAAAATACCCCAAGACGCCACCGGCTTTCTAAGGGCAAGGCCCGGTGAGGGCAGCGGAGTCTCCACCAGAGCCACGTTCTGGTTGGTTTAGTGACCATAAACTTGCCTGGAAGCAGCGGGGAGGGAACAGGTAACCTCCGAGATCCCCCCACCAGTATCTCAAAACATCCTGTTTTTGCCACACACGCTCCCATCTAAACAACCGGCACCGCCAAGTTCAAGTTCTCGCCACAGACCCAAACGCCTACTTCCTCCCTTTGACTTTTAGTTTTGCTTAAAGAGGTGGAGGGTGTTGGGGTTTTTTTTGTTGTTGTTTGTTTTTAAACAAGCAGCCAAGGGTGCGAGACCAGCAAGAGAGCATGTGCTAAACCCACAGCCCTTTCCCCACGCCGCTCGTCGTTTCTCCTTCGCGTCCCTCCTGCGAGCAGCTCCGGGAAGGGCGACTTCACCCCCCTCCAAGGACCAAACCGCTCAGGTTTTGGGGCGATTTGCTTACAAACCCCAAGAACAAAGAGCACCACCATGCTCATTGAGTCAATCTCCCAGCACCCGGAGCCAAATCCTCTGCCTTCGTTAGAAACCACGAACCGCAGCCGGCGCAGAAAACGGTTCACAAAAACGCTCCCCCAAAAAAGGGGATTTCTCCCTGTCCCCGTGACACAGGGTTTCAGTTAAGGGTCTACCGATATTCTTAGCTCTTAACAGCTCGCGAGGCATCTTGCAACGCCAGCAGGGCCCTTCTGGTGGGTCTGGAAGTGGAGAGGAAGGAAGCAGGAAGCGGTTCGCGGGGAGCTGCCTGCAGATGCTGAGCTGCGACACCGGCCCCGGACAGCCCGGGGCTGCCGGCACGGTGCCACCAGATCCTCCCGCCATTATAACTTGCAAACAGCCTTTATCTCATTAACGTTGCTTAAAACCCTCTCTAAATTAGAGAATTTGCATAAAAGGCAACGTTAAAGCTAAGCAGGTGCCCTTAAGGCAGCACCTCGCTGCAGCGGTCGAGGCGCAGAAGCAAGCGGCTTGCTCGACCTCTCGCACGTCTCACGGGTGAAGAGACACATGGACAAGTGGGCTTAAAAAAACCAAAAACAAACAAAAAAACCACCCCACGCCTAAAATCCTCCCAGCGACAGATTTGCCATCCCCGACCTCCAAACCCGCTTCACTGTTTGCTCAGCTGCTTCCCCGCAGCCGTACCCGGAGCAAGAGTTAAATAAATATTGCAACGCAACGGGCGCCGCGTCCTTCTGAAATCGGTTACGACAGACACTTTCAGCACGAAGCCAGAGTGCCCCGAAAGCTTCGTTTCGGGCTGAGAGGACAACACGGAGGGTTTCGACTCACGGCGAGTCACCTCTGCAAGCTTGGGAGCATAACTAAGACTTCAGGCTTGGATTTAAATACAAAAGCCTTCCACCGATCGCTATCTCCACGTGATCTGCTCCGCATGCTTTGGTTACACAACAGGTTGCTGGGCTGGGGATTTTTAAGCTTTCCAAATTTACCCGTTTTCTTGGCATTGTCCTCCCAAAGACGTGACTCGTAAGGGAATGCGGAGCACTCAAGTTTAAATCCAGGCGCGCGGCTTAAGGGGGTGTTTGAGTTCTGGCTTCTGGGCAGGTCGCCCTCACCCACCGCTCATCCCACATGTCCCCAACCTTATCTGGGTTTAAATACAACGCTGAAGCAGAGCAAAAATCAAGCTCTAATTCAACTCCTTTTAGCTAAAAGGACAATTCCTGACCCGATTTCTCCCACCAGACACCCACCAGCATTTCAAGGCAACTGGAGATGGGCACAGCAAGGCGCAGGAGATGTTCCCAGCCCCGGGCCAACATCACATGCTGAAAAAAAACTTGAGTGACGTTGCCCGAACTGATAAGCAAGATCATATTTCAAGACATGACCCATTTTTTTTTTTTTTTTTTCCTAAAACTTCACATTGGGGACATTTGATATTAGATCTGCTGTGTTAAGAACTGCATTAACCTCTTCTTCGAGGAGCAGCTCTTGCCAAAAGTTGGCCACTCTTTCTTCACAGAGATACTTTCCACCCTTCTTAACTAAAAAATACCCAAGGCCTAGTTTTTAAAACAGCGGCGCTATCTAGAACTGCTTGTGCCAGTGAATTCTGGGCACTGGGAGACCTAAAAATTGCCGAGTGATAGTCACGGCCAGCAGGAACATCCAGCCACTGGCAGCAGAAAAGCAGCTGAGCCCCTCAAAATGCCTCTAGTTGGCATCAACCACCACCCCAGGCCGGTAACTATTCATTCCCCAAGGTTTGCCATGCCAAGAGAAAAAGAGTTTGGGTTTGTTCATATTTTGATTTGTGTTCATTCGGCTCAAGGCTCGTTCCAAAGAGCAGCCCAGGCATGTGGAACAGTCTGGAGAGCCGGGATTACAGGCTCTTTGATATTTCAATTAAAGACAGAGAGCTTCTCGCTGCAGGGATGGATCTACCGTAGGATTAAGGCTGAGCAGAACCTAATGAGAAGCTGCTTCAAGGACCCCAAGACGCTGCCAGAAGCACCAGGTGTCAGTAGGTGGTTGTTTTTCCTAGTGCATGAGCAAGTTTTTAGTCTTTGGAAGAACATTGCCAAGCTTTTAGTGCAAACTCAGGTTTTTGGAGCCTTACAAGGAAAAACCTGGAAGCTGTTTGGGATGGAGCAGATAGTTTGAATAATTTGGAGTTCCGCTAATGGAGGAGGACCAGCACAGACCCAAATCCACTGGGAATCCTTTATCCTTTTAACACAAATCCTTGACACTCTGTCCCCACAGTAACATAACACCTACAGAAAATAATTATCCAAGGGGTGAACACAGATCCCTGGACCAGAGGCCGCATCCTGCTGAGCACCACCAGGCTGGACCGGTACCAGCGACCACCCAGCCACACTCTGTCCCCACGATTTACAAAGCTTTAGGGGTTTCCCCACTGGAAACCTCATTCCTAAACACGACGCTTTTTCATTACAAAGCCCAAAGGTCCAAATCTCCCCGGTGGGACGCGACCCCTCCATCCACCTGCCCCTCAAGAGACCGCGCTGCCCAGTTCTCATCTGCCAGCATCTCCAAGGCTCTGCCCCCGAACCAGCGCTGGACTTTACAGGACACAGAGTGTCAACGATGGAGACTGATTAATTAACACCAGGTTACGCCAATTAAACCTTTCCCTGTAAACACCACCCCCTCCAACAAGGCTCTGTTCAACAGGATGCGACGGTTTGGGGTTATCAAAAGGTTTTTTGGCTCGCACGGGGCGTTCGGGGACACTTACCATCTCGGTAGGACTGCAGGGACTCATCTCCCCAGGATGGGGGGAACGGGGACAGAGGAGACCGTGGAATGCTGCACTCGGACATGGGGGTCATGGTCTTGCGGGGCACGAAGCCGTGAGCTTCCCTCTCTCGGCTCGGGGACGAGGGCTCCGTTCCCATCGCCGCTTGCAGCATCGGATACTCCGATGAGTTGGCCAACAGCTCCTTGAGGATGTTAATGGGCGAGATGGTGAGTTCCCAGTTGGTAATCCCAAAGTCTCTCAGGTGAGCTCTGGCGTGGCTGGAGAGACCCGCTCGCGTGTCGAAACCGGCCCCGCAGAATTCGCATCGCATCAGGCTGAAAGTACTCGGGTCGAAGTTTGCAACTGCGGAAAGAAGGACAGAGAGTCAACGACGGCGTGAAAAACCCTGGGTCAGGCCTCCGGGCAAGGGGGTGGGGGGGTGGGTATTGCACCCAAGACAACCACACGCCACCAGCTGTGCTGTGGCCACCACAGTTCAGGTTGACCACAGTACCATACGTACCCAATTCTTGGTGGGAGGAGAAAACCCCACTGATTAAAACAAGAAAATAGAAAGCACGGTGAATTGAATACATACTACCTTTTTTCTTCTTCTTTTGGAAGGAAAATTTTTGCTCAATAGCTTTCACTTCTTCTGCCGAGATGAAGTGACGGACGTTGTAGCTCACCCCCACCCTGTTGAGGTGGCCCCGTACGTGGTTCGCCAGCCCGATCCCGTTGTGAAACCTGTCTGGGCAGTAGGGACATTTCCTCTCCTCGTTCTTCAGCATGGGCGAGTCGGAGTCCAAGAGGTCATCGAGCTCCAGAGGACCCTCCAGAGGAGCGTCCAACAGGAGCATATCCAAGGGAAGGGGCTCTTCCATCATGAATTCCCGGGAAGGGAGCGTCGTTTTCTTCTTGTACGGTTTCCCCCGGGGCCGCTTCGTCGCCTTGGGGTGCAGGTTCACCTCCTCCAGGAGGATGATGGGCACCATCTTCCGCAACTGCTGCTGCTGCTCCTCCGAAGCTATCGAAGAGTCTGTGGCTTTCAAGGCGTCTCTGAACGTCCTCTTGAGGTCCAAGGCAGCTTGAGGGATGGTGATGGGTTTGACGCCTCTGTTCTCGCTCAAATCTATTTCTGTGCTTACAGAGATCTCCTCTTCCATGCTCCCAGCATCATTGGCCAACATCCACTTGTGCCTGAGCTCCTCCAACCCCATCGGGTGGCTCCTGAGACCGTCGCCTTCTCCTTCAAGGTGCTGAGCTGCTGCTTTTTTTTTCAGCTGCTGCAGAGCGAACTGGGAATAAGCTTTAGCGGAGGAAAAACCGGACAACCCCAGGTTTTTGTGCGGGGCAGCGTACGGAGCTGCTTTCCTGGCATGAAAGCCTGATGTCTGATAGTCCTTTTTACTAGCCCCGTTGCTTTTCTCGTGTCTTGGGTGAGTTAGGGCAAAACCATGGACAGCTTCGTAATGCGAGGCGCTTTCTCGGTGAGGCGGAGGGAAAAGCCGGTCTGCTTTGCCAAAATAATCCGTCTCTGCAAACCGGCCTGGCCTGGCCGGGCTGTAGGCATCTCTGCTCGTTCCTGGTTGATTGGGATCATCCTCATACACCTCCGTGTCCCAGGAGAGCTGAGAATGGGCGTATTTCATGTGCTCCTTGAGGATGTTCTCGTTGGGGGCCGGGAAGCTGCAGAGCATACAGGTGCTGAGCCCTTTAGCGCTGCCGTGAGGTGGAACCTGCATCTGCAGGGACATGTGTTCATTTGGTTTGAAGTGTTTGTAGATGCCGTGCACGGGGCTATCCCGTATTTCTCCGCTGCCCACACTTCCGAAGAGATTAATGTTCTTTGCCCCTTGGTCCTTCCTCTCCTTGACGTGCATCTTGGCGTGCTGGACAAAAATCTTTGAGGAATTTGTGCCAAAGACACACTTGGGGCACTGCAGCCGGGCTTCCCGGCCTTCGTCCGGAAACTCGTTCAACTTCTGGATCTCTTCGATAATTTTTTCCCTAGATTCTTGGTGGAGCCTTTTGTGCTGCTCCAAGGACGTGGGGTCTCCAAAGGCCCACCCGCACTCGTTGCAGCAGAACTGACACTGCCCTCCCAAAGCATCTCTGTCTTGGTCCCTCCCTGGTCCACGATTATGCTGAAGCATGTGATCCATCAAATGTTCCTTTTTCTTGAAATAAATGCTGCACTCGATGCAGGTGTACACCGTCGGGTCCTCCTCCGGACCCAGCTCCTCTTTCCCCTGCTCCTCCAACAAGACGCTGCACACGTAGGGCCTCATCTCGATGTCGTAGGAGCTGCAGGGAGCGGGGTCCAGGGACATCAACGGGATCCGCTCCACTGAGTCTTCGGCATTTACCGTCCAGGACTGTTTGCCGACAGCGAGGTCTGCGCCAAGCTGAAGACCCGGCTTCTGGATTGTCCACTCCGCCGCGTTGAGCTGGTTGATCTCGCCCAAGTCCGAGTCGACCATCAGCCCCTTCCTGTGGGATGAGGAGCTCTCCAGGGATTTGGACTTGCCGAGGACAGGGTTTAGCGTTTTTCTGAACACCGTGGGCGTCAGCGGAGGAGGCACTTCACGCACAGGCTGTCCCCGAAAGGGCAAGCTGGTTGCTACATCTGTTGGCTTGTTTATGTCTTTGTAGTGAGGACTTGGGCTTTTGTTGGGTCTAGAAATCCAGTCGACCCTCTGGATTCCCCTCTTGCTTTTATCTAAGTGCTCTTTGCTGAGGCCTTCAAGTTGCTTTGGTTCATTTTGAAGATATTTCTCCTCCCCGCCGCTGCCCGATGCCCCAGCGCAAGGGCTGGGGGTCTCTGCTGCCGCCTTGTCACCCTCCAGCTCTTCGGAGTCGCTCTCCAGTTGCTCAGGATCCACCTGCACGGTATTTACAACCTGGGGCTCCACGGCGAACGCCGACTCATTTACACACCGCGCGTCCTTGGAGTCCTTCAAGCCAGAAAGTCTCTCTAAAGTGCTTTCTTCTCTCCCATCGCCCGCTCTCGTCTCCAGGGCGGAGGCGTCCCAGGTCACGCTGCCGGACACCATCATGTTTCGCAGGTCTAGGGAGCTCCTGGCATCCGTTCTGTACAAAGCCTTCTTGAACTCCAAATGCTCTTCATTCGTGGAGCTGTAAGTAAGTTTTGAGAGTTAATAACCCGTTAAGGGTTAGGATAAACATTGCCATTTACAAAAGGGTTGTCCTAGAACCAGAGCGAGCCTGCAGGGTGTTACGGCGTAACACCGACTGGGGATTTCATGATGACTCCCACATCACCCCAAATATTAAAAGACTTGGGTCAAAAATGAGCCTGTCCCTTCCCTTGAATGATTTCAGCATCTTCTCCTGGGCTTGCTCCAAGCTCCTTTCAGCAACGGCTGCATCTGCTCCCTACGATGGCCCCGCCCCATTCATGCCAGGAGCGTTGGGTTCCATCACCACATCACTGATTCCTGCCCTGGGCCAGAAGTCTTCTTCCCCTCACTCCACCCCACTCTCTGCTTCTCTTTCCCTTTCCTCTCAACTTCTCAGCATGCTTGGACACCGTACTGCCTCCTTTTTACCCAGCTCAACAGGGATATTTGCTCTTAGTGATGACACTTATCACTATCAGGCCAAAACAGGCCAACGAGCTCTTCAAAATTGCAAAAAAATAGATTTAAGTGTCAACGTGGACCAAACCAAAGGTCTCTGGGACCAAAGGATGGTTTGCCTCCATGATTAAATGGAAGTCCCTGGGTGATCCCTCTCCACCGCAGGAGTGGGAAGTCTTTCTTCCCAACATGGGTCAAGGTGGTTCCTCCTCATCCTCTTCCAAACCCTCCAAAAGGGCCCCAAAGTTGGGAAGGCCTCATCAAGCACCTGGAGAACATGGGCCTCCATGCAGTGAGATCTACAGTGGGACGAGGCGGCCTCAGGCAGGTGCTGCGGGTACCACCACGGCACTGAAGACACGTTGGGTGTTCAAGAGGGGCTGAGCACACCCTTGGCCAGTCCCAGACTGGTGGTTTTGAAAGTCTTATGTTGGGCTTGGAAGCTTTTTCAGGGAAGAAGGGGCATGGTGAGGGCCATGAGGGAGACACAGAGGCACTTGATGTTCTTTGAGATGACTCTAAGGATCTACAAGAGCCTCAAGCTTCGGCTGGGGTGGCAAGAGGCTCCGTGGGAAAGCAGGGGCATCAGATCCCCACACTTAGGCTTCTGAACTGGGGCTCAAAGGACCCAGGAACCCCAACGTCCCTGACAGCAGCTTCAGAGAGGTTTGGCAGATGCCAGCTCTGGAGCTGAACAGACTCGGGGTGTCCACGGAGCTGCAGACCCCTCCACACCTCAATCCCTGCCCCAAGGATGTGACCCAGCTTCTGTCCTCCACAGCCAGCTTCACGCCCGGTTTCTCCCTCTACACAGCACCTGTGGCTCGGAGGCACGGCCAAGAGTGGGATGCAAACCACCACATCCCGGCTCCTACCCGCTGCTAAACCATCCCTAGGGAAGAAATTTCACCGATTGCAGAGCCTGACACCCAGAGAAGCCCGGTGCCCCGAGCCCTCGTGCAAGGAGCTGCTCCAAGGCCAGCAAAACACTATCTCACGGGTCAAGTTGTGCTGCCAGGAGAACAAAGCGCCTTTGTCGGAGACAGCAGGGCTGCCAGTTCCACACGGTTCTCGTGCTGCCTCTCTCTCTCTCCTCCTTTTTAAACCTATTTATTTCCAGCTTGTTCCTGGAAAAAGCCACATTTAGGGGTCCCACCCCACCACTTTCACCCTCCCAGCTCCAAATCTTTCCCTATTTTGACTCGAGAGAAGTTACTGGGGACTGGAGGACGGGCTCGCCATTGTCTGTGGCATGATATCAGGGAAATGTGATTCCCACGTGCACTGTAAACCCTGCAAACGTTATTAAAAATAACTCGCTAAGGAAACCACTGGCCCAGGAAGGATCAGTCAACAGCAGATACTAAAATAAGCCCATTAAAACGTGCTGGGCATTGGTTGTGTTGCTGAACAGGTTAAGTCACTGATTCTGAGCCAGGCACACATCCCTGGTGCCACCAGGAGGGACAACGATCGTTGCCCTGCACGAGCCTTGGGCTGGCACCCCAAAATTTGCCTTTTCAGGGTGCTGAGAGCTATTTGGGACACCCAACGCAACCAAATCAAGCATCCACCTCCCAGCATCTCGCTCTCTCCCTCGCAGCAGGAACAGTCCCAGTGGCACCGAGGGGAACCAGGAGGGCTCCGAGGGGAAATTTAGGGCAAGCAGAAGCAGGGTGGGCTGTTGGAAGCAGGACAAACGAGATGAATTAGAGCAGCCAACACGGCTCTGAGCAAGGCGACTGGGCTGGCTGGCTCCGAAGGGACCTGCTGATGCCCTCAGTGGTGGGACAACCCTCTTTGGGGGAGATATTTTGGGGTTTTGTGTAACTGGAGTACCATTAGCAAGGGGAGATGGGCTCCCAGGTGCTCCCCGCTCTGTGACATCCCTTGGGAACTTACCCGAGTTCGGTCCTGTGAGCTGTGGCTGGGACGGCACCGGAGAGGGCAGGATCAGGCTCATCTGCAACAAAGAGGAAAGCTCCAAGGTCAGTGCCCAAGTGAGGCTTCTTCAACGCAATTTGCAATAAGGTGATTATATTTTTTGTGTGTTAAAAAAGCTTTCCCAGCAGATAAACCCCCTCTGCTCCTGCTGCCCGTCCTTCCCCCTCCTACAGCCGGGTCTGGATTACCGGAGGATTTCCGAGCCACACTTAAGAGGGTTTAATCCCGCGCACAACTATTTGATGTATAATCATTCCTGCAGCTAAGCAGTTTAACGGGAAGATGCACACGCCGCTGGCCGTGCTCCCGCCACCCCTGCTCGCTTGGGAGGTATCTGGCGCGGAGCCGCGGCCGAGCAGCTGGACAAGGGCTGTCTTGGTCCACCCTATGGAGAAGATCGGTGGCCCCGGCTCTATGGACGGGGCTCACGAGCCTCCCCGGTGCTGGCACACGTCCCTGGAACACCACACAGGGCTTCTCTGGCTGCCTGAGCATCATTTGGGACTTGGAGGAGCTTCGCTTCAGGGTTTGCTGAACCCCCAGGATGGCTCCTGGGTTAAATCACCTCTAAACCTGCTCGTGAGAAGACACAAGGCAGGATTTCAGGCAGCGGTGACGGGCAGGCAAATGCCTCCTGAAGATCTGTAGGGTCTGCTGAGCTCTATCAGACCCCTTCCTCAAGAAAAGGAAAGCTTTTCGCTGCATCCGATGAAGATGTCTGGATGGAATCTACCTGGCCCAGAGGCTCCGTCAGCCGGGGCTGAGCTTAGGGCAGGACGTGGGGTCTCACTCCTTGTGCCGGATCCCCCTGTCCTGGTCCAGCCACACAACACCTGTGTGGAAAACGTGGACTGGCTTATTACAGGTGAGGCTGGGAGCTTGAGGAAGCCGAGGCGTAACTGGGTGAATTCTTGCTGCAAACCAGCCCCAGGCAAGCAAGCGTGCTGCTAGGACAAGGAGCTATCCACGTCCCTGCTCCCATCATCATCATCTTGGGTCATGGATACCCAGCAGCTCAGCCCCAGGCAAGCAAGCGTGCTGCTGGGGTTCCATGTCCCTGTTCCCATCATCATCATCATCATCATCTTGGGTCATGGAATGCCCAGCAGCCCCAGAGTTGCCTGGGGCTCACCAGTGTGATGGAAATAACTCAGAGACCACGGGAAGGAGGTGTCCACAGCTTGGTGGAGGCTGCAGATCCAGCACAGACCATGCCTGGGGCTTGTGGATGTGCAAAGAGCAGCTCAGCCCCCGCCACGCACCGACCAAGGCCCCAGAGGGGCTCTTTAATATTGAATACAAAGATGAGAGAGAGCAGGATTGAGCTGCACGGCCTGGGAAGGGAATGGGGAGGGCTCTGGAAACACACGGCCAAGAAGATGGGGTTTGCTGCAAGGGTCTGTGGGCTCAGCCCACGAGAGCCCAAACTGCCCTCCGGGATGGACACGGTCACTCACAGTTTGTGTTTATTTTATGGATTAGTGGTTACGTGCCATAAAACCAGGAGGAACGCGGTGTTCAGGCCACCACGCTGGTTATGGAGATGGGGAACACGGGGCAGAACCTGCTCTGAAAGCAGAGGAGAGACATGAAAAGCCAGGGTTGGCTTCCTGTCCTTCTAAAAATCTTAGGTGAGCCACCCTAGAGGTGAGATTTTTAGGGCTCCGACGTGTAGGTCTCATCCAGAGATGACGGGGTTGGAGCTCTTTCATCTAGAGGCAGAGCTGGGATCATGCACCTTGCCAGGATTTATCCGGCATTGGCACTGTCGGAGCCCATCCCAGAGAGGTGGCAGCATCCCTGGCTCCCAGATCAGGTCCTTTTGGTTTCAAAATTATTCTGGAAAAGGCCAGCAGGATCCAGGGCCAAGCTGCCAAGGTCACGGAAGACCAGCAGCATTCATTCAGGAAAGCCTGAGTCACCAACCGGCCAGGGTGGGAACGCTGGGGGAGAAGACGGGGGGGGAAAAAAAACAAACAACCCAGCCTCTCCCAAATCAGCAGATTTTAAACCTATAAATTGCCAGCGTGTGGATGGAGAGGGGCAGAGAGCACCGATCGCTGAGAAAAGACAGTGGCAGGAGCCTTCCAGGGACTCTTTTGTTCTCCAGAGCTCCAGCACGGCTCCTATTTTTAGAAACTGTCTCCTTTAGAGGAAAACATGCGGTGATTTATCTTTCTCCTGATGAGCACGTAACTGCACTCCCTGCAAATCCTGGTTTCTTGGAAACAGCGAGAGATGAGGGAGTTTAATGTCTTGGACTTAGGAGGCTCAAATTTACCCTCTATGGTAATCCAGCAAGAGCTGCTCCTCTAACCACAGGAGCGCGGCTGCAGCGTCTCCCGAGAGAGCGTGGCAAATCGGAATTCATTTCTGAGCTCACAGGCTCCCCTCCAAGAGGTCAAGCACCCCCGTATCAGGGTCACGGGTCTCTCCTCTCTGTTTTTCCTCTATCCCAAGAGTTAAAGCAACCCGGCCAGGACATCAAGACACTTTCAAAATCGAGCCATCACGTGAGCCCGTGGCCAAAACACACACAAGAAAACAGAGAAAAAGGGAAAAACCCGTGAATTTTCCAGTATGGGAGGAGTTATGTGGAGATCAGGAGTTCTCCCTCAACACGGTGGACCCAGCTCTAGACAAAGACCAACATCTCCAGAAGAGACATAAAAGCCCTGACTCATCGAGGCTGTCACAATCAGGCTTGATAATCAGAGGTTAACAACAGGCTCGAGAGGCTAAATCATGTATCTAGGTGCAAAAATTTTGCATAAATGCTCATCACCAACCCCAAAACCACCAGGATGTACCTTGAGGTGCTTCTCCACGTCACCGCTCGGATGAGAGACGCTTCCTACACAAAGGGTCTGGTTTATTTTGTACTGGAGCATTCTGTGATCATGAGCGACGTTGCCCCACTGCGTCAGGAGGTCACAGAGATGCTGACAGATCCAACGTTCAAAGAAGTGAGCCCAATGAAGGTCCCCAGCCATCGGGGACTGGAAGATGTGATGGATGGAGCCAGGCTGGGGGAGTTGGGCTGGTTCTCTTTCAAGATGAGAGCAAGAAGGTGCTGCCTACAGCCACTAATTGGAGGGTGTAGAGAAAACGAAGCCAAACTCCTCCTGGATACGCGCAACAAGAGGACAAGGAAGAGCTTCCATGCGAGAGGGGGGATGCCTGGAGATGCTCAAAACTCAACTTGATGCGGCTTGAGCAACCTAACTATGAAGTCGGCTGTGCTTTGAGCACAGGGGCGGGATGAAAACCTCTGGAGGGTCCTTCCATCCTCAATTATTCTGTGACTTTCAAATTAAAAACCCGAAGAAGGAAGTTCAAGAGTCTAAAGCCAAGTGATCTTCTGGATGGTGGTTTCCATCAAGACACTAGACCACTTCAAAACAGGGAGAGGTTCTCTCTGCTGAAGAGTTTAACGGAGAAACTATATTCTCCTGAAAGTTTTCTACCCAGCTCCCAAAAAATGTCTAGTGACAGTGTAGAAGAGCGTAAAGAAGCGACAATTTAAAGAAAATCTAAAACCCAGTATTATTTCCCAAACTTCAAAAGCTGTTCAACTGCGTATGGCTCCATCCCTGGAATACAACGGAAGGTTTCCCTTGCACACAGTCCTCCAAGATGGGAGGAAGGAACCCTACCTGACCTCCACATGCTTTGCACATCTCATAGCTCAGTGGTAAAGGAGGAGGAAGGAGACTAAGCTCCAACTCAAGCTCTCCAGCAGGTCCCAGATCAGGTGGGTTCCCGCTGCAGAAGGACCAGCACTTCCAAACAACATCGGTCTGAGGATGAGGTGAACCGGTCTCCAGTCAAGGGAAGGGGAAAAAAGCTCCTCCAGAGGGCGATGACTTGGGTTAGACCTCAACTGAACTCTTCAAAAATCAAAAATGAAGCAAATGGGAAAGGAATTTACAATACCACTTTTTCTGAGCAATCTGAGGGGTTCCAAGAACCCCCAAAACCAGGTGACCACCTCCAGAAAGCTGAGCCTCCATGTGGTCTTCCAGGCTTTGTTTTTTTTCCAGCTAAGTGAACTGAAAATGAGGCAAAAAGAGATATGTTAGCTCCTCTACAGCCAGGCTGAGGGACCTTGCCATTTAAGCAATGGTATTAGGCAAGGGGTGAGTTATTGCATCATCTTCCGAGTAACACAAGATGTCGCAAGGCATGACTGAGCTCTGGAATTAAAGACTAGCTCCCTACTTAAGGCTCACATTTTAATCGTGGGTGTTTGAGAGCAAAAGGTACCAAAAGAATCGTTCACCGGCATGAGCAGCTCCTACAACTTCTGCATATTGTAAATAACCTGAAAAAAAGAGAAAAATTTGGCTTGACATGTGGCCTTTCGTGGCCCAAATAAAACCCCACAAGAGCAACCGGCAGTGCTGAAAAAAAAAAACCAGCAAATGGGCCCATGCAGTGGGATCACTGCTCGACAGCTCCAGAAAAACCCCGTGGCCCCACGTCATGTGGTGCTGGAGCCGCGGGGTGGCCAGGTGAGCAGCTCGGTGTTCATCGGTGTGCTACCACCCAACCTGGCCACAGGGATTTCTGCCGCATCGGCACAACGAGGAATCCCACACTGGAAACATTCGGTCACCCGGGACTACAAGATGGCCAAGAAACGGGGCAGGTTCCGGCTCCCAGCACCATAAAAGCTGTTTAGCTCCCCAAAAGCTCGCTGGACATGGGGGGAAGCAGGAGCTTCATTTCCCACATCCCAGCCCATCTCTTAAATCCATCCCATGGCCCCAAATTTGGCTCTTCCAGCCCAAAGCAGCTGTGAGACCACCTCTCCAAGGCCCCGTCCATGCTGGCAGAGCCACGGCAGGTCCAACCCAAGCTGGGCTTGTGTTTGCAGAGCAAACAGCGGCGTTCGGCGGGCAAAGGTGCCGGCAGCGCTTTTGCTCGGCAATCCTGATATCCCCGGGCACAAGCGTGTGGCTCCGGGCTGAGAGAGGGCAACAGGAAAAGCAGAGCACAGAGACCCTCCTCTCCAAC